CAATTTCGATTTTTTTTTTTTTTTTTTTTGAAATCCCTTTTTTTAAAAATTTTTTTTTTTTTTTTTTTTGAAATCCGTTTTTTAAAAAATTTTTTTTTTCGTTGCTTTTGACATTTCCAAATATATGCGACCTGTATGTGATTTCCGGAGTGACTCCATTATGTCACAAGCACGTGTGCTCTGTGTTTACGGAAGTAAACATGGAAGGTAGTGCTGAAGCGCATCTAGCGAACTTTCCCAACCTAAAAAACTCAATCTTTTCAAGATTGTTTAAAAAAAAAACTGCTCTCCACATTATAATCCGCCATGGTTGTTGTTTTTCTTCCTGCTTCTGCGTAGCAAGACCCAGAAATAGTGACCTTTGTTGAGTATTAATGGCGTTCAGGTCGGATGAATGCCACCTGCCCGTTCAGACACAGGTTGCATTTGAAAAGATCAGATTCGTATCTGATTCAGAACCACACAGTCAAGTGGCCTGGGTCGCATTGAACCAATCGGATCAGTGTTGTTCAGACAGTCATGAAAAGATCAGATACAGGTCAGATATGGGCAAAGAAATCGGTGCAGTGTGAACGTCGCCTAACATTAATTGTAACATTAACAGATACGTAGTAAATCCTGCTGGTTCCTGGGTGTATTTGATGATCCTAGCAAACCAGCCGGATTCCTGAACTCGTCTTTATCACCGACTGCATCTCTGTTCACAGGAGAGGCTCACCGTTCAGGCTCCAAAGAGACACAAAGTGTCTGTCCATGTCCTCTCCAGAGAGATGGAGTCCTGTGAGTGTCTGCAGACTTTATGAGGGACATTTATTTATTTATATCCTTTTTGACTCGAGTCTTAATCCATTTGTTTTCTAACCTGCCTCATAGGTCCAATAGTGGGAGAGTTTCCGGCTCAGAACGACGTCAACCTGGCCCCCGTCCCGACTCTGCCGCAGGTAAATAAAGGAGATTCGCAGCCGTCCTCTGAAACTAATTATTTAACATTCAGACTATTTTTTTTCTCTACTTTAAATCAATGTCAGTAGATCCAATCTTGAGGCTCTTATCTATTTCTTCTGTATCTATATCCCTCTAATCTTCTCTAGATTCATCATCACAGTGCTTAGAACCTGACATTAGAATAAGTTATAATATAGACATAAATACAGACACTTTTTGAGTTAAATTAGATAATTTATCCAGTCTTTTAAATGCAAATTTTAGCGGAAGCAAAAAGCTGGTTAAGAGTGGGCCACAAGCAGTACAAAGTTATCATCGTTGTCATCGTTTTCAGGGATTCAGGGCGTGAAACCTGCTCAGACTGCCAGAGGTGGTTTTACCGGCCAGGAACGAGTGATATGCTTTCAGAATTTCCCCATTGCGGGACAATAAAGGCATTTTCTATTCTATTCTAATAATGGTGTCACTGTGGCTGATCAGGCAGAAAACAGATTTTTTTATTAAGATTAGATCTACTGACTTCCATTTGTTTGTTTTCATAATACATGAATCAAATAGTTGTATTTTCACTAATGGTTTTAGTAACATTTAATGTACCGAGGTGTGGGAACAGAAAGAGAAAGCATTTTCTCCGTCACATGACTCCTTTTTTTTCCCACGCAGGAACTAAGATGGAATGAAACGTATTTAAAACTTGTTTTGACTGAAAACACGTCTAACCAGGTTGTTCTGCCCTCACAGCCCACGCTGATTCAAGACATGAACGAGTTCAAGAGGAGCCTGCCTCTCTTCCCTCTGGCGAAGCCTCACATCAACTTCATGGCTGCCAAACTGTGAGCCGCGCAGGCCGGCGAGGAGGGAGGGAGGCAGCCGCACCGCCGCTCCCCTTCTGCCTTCCTCCCCCAGCAGGGAAAGGAGGTTCACCTCACCTCACTGAGCCTGCATGACTGTGTGTGAGTGTAAAATGAATGCATGTGCACGCGGCAGGCTCCATTAGAAGCAGAGACGCTGCGTATCTGAAGATCCCCAAAGTTAGCCGTGGTCGTTCCAAATAGCCGTGATAAACGTAGCGGACTCGCCTCATGTTAAAGGAGACGCCGCTCCTTCACGCTTCAGTGCTGTCGGCTGCTGTAGAGGAAGTAGAACCATTTAAAAAAAAGATAATCAGATCCCTTTACGCAGGAGCTTCACCACTAGGAGCAGCTCTCCACCTCCTCGGACTGGGATATCCGGCGCCGCAGCTGTTAAACGTCATCACTCTGTCACATCCAGATGTTTTATTCAGATGTCTGCCTTATTTTAGATTTAAAGCCGTGCTCGCTTGGTTGGGGAAAAAATGTTGGGACCCTTTGAGAAGCTGCTTTTAGCCAACCTGTCATGATTCTGAGTTGTTTTTAGGGTTTTATCGCTTAAATAGTATTTTTGATTGAAACACCTCAGGGGTAAGTCCATGCCGTCTGTTTTTTTGTTTTTCTTTTAACAAATTTTAGTGTTAATGAAAATCTGTCGTTGCTCAAACCCCTGATCAGATCCTGGCTGCGGGTTATTGTTTTTCTCCCCCGTGGCGTCTCCGTGGAGACCCCTACACTGTGCATCTGTGTGCGTGAGACTTCCTGCAGCTTGTGCCTTTCCATCAGTGACAGCAGCAACGTAGCCCTGCGACAGATTATCGTCTTTTTCGTTCGGTTTTCTTCCTTCCCGACGCCAGACATGTCACATTGATGTCAAATAAGAGCTGGAAAATACGACGGCTCAAATTTTAACAAGTATTTCCTGAATAATATGCACTTCTCTCACCAAGCAATAAACAGCACGGTCCTGATTGGGAAAGGTTTCGCCCCCGCGCAGACGAGGTCGCGGGTTGTTGCTCTCTCAGGTGCCTGTCGCACTTTGTCCCAACATTTTATTTATTGTTTTTTTCCTCTGTTTGTACTCCCTTCCTCACCACACCTCCACCAGTCTGGCTTCAGCCTAAAAGAATGAAATAAGATTTGAATGTTGGGACGGCCGCTTTGATTGTTCTGCACCAGAAGCTTCTTAAAATGTTCGGTTTCACTCGGCCTCAGCCAGATTTATTTTTTATTTTAATTCAACATTTCCTTTGTGGTTAAACACAAAGACAACATGCAGCCACATTTGGTGGAAAAATCTGTTTTCAGTGTACCAGGAAAAAAAAAAATCACCATGACATATCAGGCAAAGGGTAGGGCGGATACCCTGTGAAGTACTTAGAGTGGTTTATATTTAGAGTTTGTTTTTTTTCTTCTTTGTATTTTGATTGATTTCAACACTCGGCTGTGATTGGCTGGTTGGGTTACCATGCCGGTGGAGCGTGCTGATAATTTTAGGTTTGGAGTTTTTATGTTTTCTGTGTGTTTCTAAATAATAAACAAGTGAATGGCACCAGCGCTGTCGTCTCTTCGTGTCAAAACGCACTCAGGCACCTCACAGTTTGCAAAAATACGTTTATTCACAGATGTACCAGCATACAGCTTCACAAATCAAACATTTACAACAAAGTTCACTTTTTTTCCTTTTTGCGTTGGCAGAGGCTGAGCTTTGGCCAAATATGATCAAAATTAACTTCAAGTGTTGGTTTCTATTAATGGGTTTAGAAAATTAATCAGGGTTTCTTTTAAAATTACTGCATCAAGGAAGCGTCTTTGGCTTCTTCCTGTTTTAATGTGCTGTGTAAGGCTTTTCCTTCAAATATACTTGGAATTTTTTCCACAGCTCAGCAGTTTCCTCCATGACTGACAGTCATGTTTTGTTAAAATCCCTTTTTTTCACCGAGGCAACAGTGTAGGTTTAGCCACAATCACTGGAATATTCGCAACAAATCTATAAAATCTACTTTTTCGAATACTGAAAGCAACTTTTTTCAGTCCAAATCAGGAAAAAGTTTCCAGATTACAAAACATCTAATTGGGTCTGTGATGATTCTGCAGTAAAACATTAGAAGCCAAAATGATTCTTTCTAAACCAGCAAAGTATCAACTGCTCTGGTGATCATTAAAATAGATAAAATTATCCACCTTTCACCATCAGTGAAATGAATAAATGTTCCGGATTTTATCTCCTTTAAACCACAAACCTAAAGTAGGATTCATATTTTTTTATATCAAAAAATGAAAAGGTATCGTTGCACTAAACTCTGGGCTCAAATTGTGAAAATATATCCCATGTTTTCCAGATAAACTATAAAGACGTGAAAATCCACCAAAACTCTGACATGGAAGAGGGGAAGAAAAAGAAAACGGCTGAGAGACTCTATTCTCGGCTAAATGTGTGTTTCAAAGGAAGTTTTACATGTCTGGAAAAATATTTAAGATCTTATGAGATCCAGAATAATTTTTTTTTTTTTTTAAATATGTAGTTGAAATGTGATGTGGCTTCCTGATGATGCCCATCATTAACAGGAAACACTTCATAGATGGATCTACATAGACGTCCTAGATATTGGATTAGATTGAAGCACATTCATGTTCTGGAGGTTCGAGGATCAGAACATGGCTGGATTGGAGCGGATCCCTAACGAATGGGTTAAAAATGTCAGACTAGATGAGCAAAGCTGGTAAAGATTTTCTTCAGTTTTGTCAATACACACTTTAAAGGAAAATTCCGGTTTTTAACACTTTTAGCCCATTTTCTGTAGTGTCCAGGATGAAATCGAATGATCGACACCAAAATTTTGACAATTGGTCCTGTCTCTGCTTTTTGGCTCATTTAGAATCCCCCCCTGGCTGCTTCAGAATGGCTTCCATAGCGCATGTCCGATAATGTCCTTAAAACAACCTTAAACGTTCTTTTTTTAAAATATGCTACTCACCGGGTCGTCAGCGCTGTTCAATGACGTTCCAAAAAAAGTTTCGTAAAGAAAAACCATTCCTGTAGTGTTTTATTTAGCATTTTGTAAATCCCATTGAGTTCTGTTGGAATAGTCAATATCCCTCCGCCACCGGAAACGGAAATGGGGCCTGTTTACGCTTAGTTGTAGTCTTTTCGCAAGGCCCAAGTGTTTCTGCTTCACTCTGTGTACTCCGACGTCGAGGTGCTAACGTCTCTGTTAAACACTTTAAAAAACTCTGAAAATGGAATACGAAAGGTGGATTCTTGAGGAGGACATATTGGACTTTGAGTTTGACGGTAGAGGATACCGTCGCCAACTAGTGGTCTGGAGTGTGCAACGCTTCAGATTCGAACGGGAAGCGGAAGTTTATAAGCGGTTGTGATGTATCGGAAAAAATAGTTCTGGGATTTACAAAATGCTAAATAAAACAAGACAGGAACGGTTTTTCTTCACGAAACTTTTTTTGGAACGTCATTGAACAGCGCTGACGACCCGGTGAGTAGCATATTTTAAAAAAAGAACGTTTAAGGTTGTTTTAAGGACATTATCGGACATGCACTATGGAAGCCATTCTGAAGCAGCCAGGGGGGGATTCTGCATGAGCCAAAAAGCAGAGACAGAACCAATTGTCAAAATTTTGGTGTCGATCATTCGATTTCATCCTGGACACTACAGAAAATGGGCTAAAAGTGTTAAAAACCGGAATTTTCCTTTAATACAGCGCAATGAAATTCACACTCTGCATTTAACCCGTCCTCGTGGGCCGCTGTCCTGCAGGTATTAGAGGTTTCTTTGCTCCTGCACAGCTGATTTTAATTGAAAGCTGATTAACAGGCTTTTGCGGAGCTGCAATCATAATCAGCTGTGCTAAAGCAGGGAAACCTCTAAAACCTGCAGGACAGCAGCCCTCGAGGACCGAGGTTGGGGACGCCTGCTCTTAGGGAGCAGTGTGGGGTTAAGGGTTTTGCAAAGAGACCCGGAGTGGATTTTGAACTCAACCTCAGGATTCCAAGCGCCATGCTCTAACCCGTAGGCCGCCTATCTGATGAAACATATAAAGCTTGAGGCGGAAGCTAAGAGGGTTGAAACAGACCTGAACTACAACAGAACAGACAGTCTCTGAAATATGAATCCAGACGGATGTTTTCCTCCAGTAAAGTCCAAACGGAGACGTTTCCATTGGAGCAAAGCTACCAGATCAATAAACACTGAAACGTCTCAACTAAAATGTTTCTATATCACCACTCCTCTGTCTGATGATTTTGTGTCAAAGTGATGAACGTTTCTCTAAATGCTTTCTGGTAACTTGATTTTCATTCATTTACTCGTTAATCTGCTGCACACTCATCTCATTAACATGGGCACAGAGGAGGTTTGCAAATCAAACATAAAACAATTGTTTATTAATATACTTAAATGTTCTGATTACATGCCCTGTATTCATTTAAAACACAGTAAGTTAGCAGTAGGTATTAGCCGTGTGGTGGAAGCTGCACACCGACTGCAAGCATGCTCCAGATTGTCTGTTATCCAACGTCCCCACACAGAAAGCAGCGACGGCGGTGTCGGTGGGATCCCTGCGTGGATGTCGGCTGCAGGAACAGCCGAGTGGGCAGTTTTGAGTGGAGTGGGCGATGCGGAGAGGATGACGGCGCTCAGTTCATCGCCTCACGCCTCTTCCTGCTCGGGGAAGTTGAGGATCTTACGGTGGGCTTGCCTCAGGTACTGCTGCTGTTTGAAGTAGACCTTAAACGCCCCTTTGATGGCCACAAAGGCGATGCCTCCCTGGGGGGGGGAAACAAAGCAAACCATCATGAAAGATGCTCTAAATACAGATTCAGCTCGGCACATCTAAAAGCTCGTAAACAGCAGTGGGTTCTTGTTGTTTCCTGCTCAGGAAGAGCGGCGTTAGAAAACCACCGTTCTCTGATGTGCTGGGAGAAATCTGGTTTGTAATCAGTGAGCAGCTGCTTCCCTAAACCTCCAAACAGAAATCAGGCATGAAGATCAGAATAAATGACAGAAAGCAGGAATAACTGTTGGGTGACTTCAATTATTAGTGCTTGCTATTTATTCTGCTTAAAAAAAACATTTAAAAGTCAAATCCTACTGTTGTGACCTCTCTGACCACAAGGGGGATGAACTAAGGAGACACGGATCCAAACGATGAGTGCATCATTATCAGGTAAATTTAAGTTTTTCTCAAGATTTTATTTGTAAAATTGTTTAATATTTCATGAAAAAATCAAATAAAATCTGGTCTGAAGGAAGGAGAATCAGGGAAGAAAAAGATGTAAGAGAGGAATGAAGGGTATGAGGAAGCAGGTGAATAAAGGACAAAAAGAAGGAAGAAAGTTTAAGGAAATGAAGACATTTCCAGACAGAGCAGGAAGCAGCGGTGGAGAACGACGCGTACATCGTCTCCCATCCTGATCTGCACCCACCAGAATGGTCCGCTGGAGATTGGAGTTGACGCTGCTGAACATGAGCTTCCCGACGATGGTGGCGATGGTGGGGAAGACCAGGGCGCCGCACAGGATCCGTGTGGCGGACACGTGGTCGGCCAGCGGGCTGGCCTCGGCGGGGATACGGGGCACCGGGCAGCCGATACCTGCGGTCCAAAGAGTGACTTCATCAGCAAACCACTCGGACTCAGTCCAACCTGCCTGGTCCTCAGACTGATGATGCTAAGCTAGAAATTAGAAACCAACCTGGGAAGATTTTGTCAAAGATCTGCAGTTTGTTTGAGTATTTCCTCCACAGACGAAGGACGTAGTCCTCCCAGCGAATCATCTTCCCCAAGATCAGCATGACGGGGATGGTGGGCAGGCCAATGAGCAGGAAGAGTGGGTCTGCCCGCTCCATGACGTCCAGGCCCTCCTTATGGCCCACCACCTGGACACCAGATTCAAAAACTCAGGATGTACGAAGAAATTAGCTTATCACTGACCGGCTGATTTTCATTATCATCTCCTGGCTGTTTATCTCTTCCATCTTAAAATATCAGGAGATAAAGTCCTTTTAAAATGCTGACCAAACAGAGTCCTACCTGCATGACAGTGACGGCTCCGTAGGTGACGGCGGTCCAGTAGATGGAGCCCACCATGATGCCTGCTGCAGCGAAAGGCCCGGCTTTGGAAATGAGCCTGTCGGCCAGATCCAGCACATAAACCACAGGACCTGCAGGAAACAGACGGCAAAACTTCAATTTGAGTAAAAATCTGTTAAATCAGAAACAGCAGGAGAATCTACCTTAGATCTTCTCTGAGTCTAAAACATCAGAATCGTTCTTCTCTAATAATCATCTGTTATGCAGTGAAAATGAACCGGATCTCCGATTTAGGTTCCTCTTTGATAAGAAATGAAATTAATAGAGTTGAAACAACACCAGGTGGATTCTGCAGAATAAAAATTATTAGAAAGCCTCCAGTGTGGTTTTAAAGAGCAGGTAGAAACGGTGAACACCTTAAAGTCGTAGGGAAATGACTGTTCCAACAGTTGCATTTCCAAATTCTCCCGAGTTGCACGACTTTACACGATTGAATACAGTGAAGGTGATTGGTCGTTAATAAAGTTTGTTGTGGTGGAAGGTTCTCCAGCAAGTTTGGTTGTGGCCGGTTTGTCGGAAGCATCTTGCTAACCAGTTAGCAACTTAGTGCTAGTAGGTTCCCAATGGGAAATTCCATTGGGACCAAGTAGCATTAAAATTGGTGA